AATGCGGAAGTGCACATATGTTACGTCCTATACCTAATAAATAGAATAGTAATCGTCCATCAAATTTAGTGATGTCTTAAGAGAGAGTCTAATCTAGTGAGTCTTAAGAGAGAGGAGTCTAGTCTAGTGATGTCTTAAGAGAGTAGTTTAGAGTAGTCTTAGAATATCTTAAGAGAATAAATAAAGTGTACAGTTCAACAAGTAGATTTTATATTGAATCAGAAGCATGAAACATATCTCTTTAAGCTAATATCTTACTGAAAGTACTCACGATTCCAAAGAGATCTATTTAACAAACCAGTAACTCAAACTTACTTCTACTGCTCGACCCAATGCACCAGGAAAAGGTTGGACGGATTTATTACCCAATTGGATAAAGGATCTACATATAGTTACCACTGATCTGGAGTGTGGATCAACCCAATATTGGACCCCAACCCATACCAATACCCCTAACAACAATAATTCACTTCAATTGATACCCTAAAGTTGTCTCAAAACCTACATATGCTACGTACACCCTACCATATGTAGGTTTTGAGACAACTTTAGGGTGTCAATATACAAGTATTTACAGACGTACAGCTGGGTTTCTAGAATTCCGAGGTGAACTTACTATAATGACTGGACTATATATTATATTATTGTTACAAGTGAAACTTCTAGTGCAACTTTCAACAAGGTTGTGTAACCAAGGAGAATAACACTAGTAGCAAAATTTGTGAATTTTTTTAAAATTACTGTAGATTGTCTAAATTTTTCTTAATTTTCTGATAATATTGTGAATACTCTGAAAATGATCTAGACTCACAACATTCTCAGTCAATCTACCACATTTTCAGATAACTTACAACATTTTCAGACGATCTGAAACATTTTTAGGCAATTTACAACATTTCAAGGCATCATAGACTATTTACAACACTTTCAAACACACAAGTTACAACAATAATTTTTAAATATTTTAGACAACTTACAATAATTGTGAAAGAAGAATGTTGAATGTGTTTTCGTTCTCTAAAATTTTGTAAATTGGTTGAAAATATTGTAGACTGTCTGAAAATGATGTAAGTTATCTGAAAATGTTGTAGATTCTCTGAAAGTATTGTAAAGTCTCTAAAAATGTGGTAAATTTTTTTGAAAATGTAAATATTCTGAAAATATTTCAGATGGTCTGAATGTTGTAAATTGGTTGAAGGTCTGTAAATGTCTGAAATTATTGTAAATTGAGAGAAAAAATTGTAAATTGTCATCAATAATTAAAAAAAATATAATAATTATAAACCCGACTGAAATTATAAGTAGCGCTTTTTATGCAAGGAATATTTTCTTAACTTAACTTACTTTGTAAATTGTAAATGTTATACATTTGGATAATTCTAAACTCAAAAATGATAATAAAATCATACGATTATCACTGTTAATATAATTTGTTAGATAGTCTTAATAAAGTATGTCTTAAATAAATACAATTTTACTTCATTAAAATTTCCCTTTCCTATTTTCATTTCTGAATTACAAAGTTGCACGTACAATATATTTTATTTTATATTTTTAAGATTGTTAAATTCGTAGATAATGTAATAAGATAACAGGAAAGTATTTTACTAATTAAAAAAAAAATCAGTATTATTCCAACATTGATAAATGACTCAATCCATTACCACCATTTATTATTATTAGTATTATGGACCAGTCGAGTAGGTTTTCGAATCTGGTCCAGAATTTCGTAAGATAATTTACATAATTTCTAATTTTATTCGAAAATCTTATAAAATTGTGATCTGCTATCATAAATTTCTATCTGTTGAAAAAATGTGTGAAATGTCACATTAGTGGCAAGACAGGTTTTTAAACGATGTAAATGAAAATTTATGCGCATTCGTTAAATTAAAATGATATTTACAAGACTATTCTCTTATTTAACTACTTGGTAATAAATTGCTTTGATGAAAATAAAATCATAAATACAAAATTTAAAAGGGGCAATATCTTTTTTTTTTCTAATATATTTTATTTAACAGCAAATCAGAATTTACAAAATTCTATGAGCTCTTGTGCTTATTGCAATATATCATATAAAACAAAAATTAATTTTTAAAGAATCTTTATTAGGGTAAAGTGATGCACAAAGGTCCAATTTGACTTTGAGCAATTATAATGTGAAGACCAAAAAAAATTATATCATTACAAATAACATATATCAAACAAACAACTATGTGACTATGTTCAGTAAAACTTCCAGCTGAATATTTATTAAATGTATTTATTAAATGTATGATTCCATGTATGATTTTTTCGCAACGTTTTTCGTATTAGCAAATCATGATTCGATTTTAAATTTAATCTCATATTTTTGTCTTAAAGAGATTTTTAATTTAGACAAGACAACAAGATACAATGAAGGCACTCATGTCGATATCACGATCGATTTGATTTCTGAGATCTCATCGCCGGTTCCATTATTTAAAACATAAAAATCATCGTGTTCGTTATAAATCGATGTAAGACACGAAATAAAAGGACTTTGAACTCGATGAAAACATTAACGTTGAAAATGATTGTTGAAATCCATTTAGTAAATCACAAATTATAGTTTTCGACTTAATTTTAGTTCAGATTAGAAGCTTAGATTTTACTTTAAAAAATAATTTATTCTTATGATGGGTTGTCCAACCCTAATAATTTTTAACTTCTCGTAGGGTAAGTTATAGTAATCGCAAAAAAAAATCAAAAAAGAAAACTTTTATATATCTTTACGTTTCAAAGGTTTCTGAGAAAAAATGTATGTATGTGTGTGTGTGTGTGTGTGCGGATACATATTTACATCAACGATTCTGTAAAAACGTTTAAATTTTTCTAAAAATATCAAAATAATATTTTGAAAACATTGTTTGCATAGTTTTATTGCCAATCAAAATAATATACATTTTTTAAGACAATATGCTGGGTGTAAATGCATTTAAGAGATCATCTCCTATGAGATCTCAAAATTTCAAATTCTTCAAAATATATAATAATTACAAAATTCTCAAAAATCTCATTTTTTCGAAATTTTCAAAAAATTTAAATTTTTTCAAAAATTTTAATTGTTGGTACAGGAAGTTTCAGCAATTTGCCTTAAGGCACGATGCCATGCACCACTAGTTTTTTAACTTCCCTTATAGCAATGCGGTAAAAATGTAAAATGAAGATTTTTGCATATCTTCACGTTTCAGAGTTTTCTGAACATGTTAGCATATCTCAGAAAAAATGGATGTGTGTGTATGTGTGGATACCATTTTTGTGGACACACACACATACAAACATCAATGTTTTCTGTGGAGGATTGCCAATATATTCAGTTTTGAATGATTCAAAAAGCAATTCGATTCCTATTGATAGTAAGATGTGTTGAATAGTTTTTAGACAAGGCAGGTCTAGCCGTTTCGAAGATACGTAGCAAAAACTGCAGAAAATAGAAATCGATTTTTTGAGAGTACTAAGCATCCAAATGTAGATTAATCAAAAATCATTTTGCTTCCAATTTATCTTATATTTTGCCCATAAAATACAAAAAATAAAAATTTCAGTATTTATAAAGATATATTTGA